TGAACAGAAGTTAAAGCCTGTAAACGATGGAAAAGCAGCTCATCTCACCTTTTTCTCGTCTCACTAATGAACAGCTGAGAGATGTTCAGAGTTCTTACCGGTAGTTTGTTAGCTGATGATGCACGTGACGCACGCGATTCATTCACGTGACGTTACTGAGTAGGATATGCGCATGCGAGGCCGTTTCAGGACGCTCATTCGTTCACATTAATGACAGATTTGAACCACTTACTTAAATGAGTATGAACCGTCGTGTCAGAGAGATCGGATTTGAGCAAAAAATAGGATTTGAGAAATGAGGCTTGTAATCTGAACGTAGCTTAAGTGAAAGTAAGTACACATCCTCTACAGAGAGCACACTTCTGCACATTTTAAAACAACAAATATTGTTTATTTGCTGTATTTAACATAGGGGAGAAGAACATAAATTGTGGCCTTTGCAAAAGTTATAACACATTTTATATTTTATATTTTGTTCCAGTATAATAAACTCGGCAAAAATAAATAAACATTGTTTAATGAATTTTGCAGAAAAATGCCATGTTTACATGTAACATAGGGGCTGAGGCAGGTTGCAAGTGCGAAGTGACTTTATTAGGGGCATTCTGATACTCGTTCTCATAGCAGACAGGGGTCAACATATGTGATCCATACATACAAAATATGCAGATCCAATCTCGAAATCAGAGAGAAAAGCAAGAGTCAAAACCAGTGAAAATCAAACACAAGAAACAGGCTGAGAACTCAGGAAAGGCACACAACTAGCAGCACTTTGCAAACACACAATGAAAACACAGGGGTATTTGCAGCAGTCTTGATGTCTTGAAAATTGGACTTAGCTGCAGGTGTGTGGGAGAGGAGGAGAGTGGGCAGAGCCAGGGAGAGTCCAAGTCAGTCTCCCCAGAGGGGAGGAGACACGACATTACATTTGTTCCCTGTAGAGGATGCATTAACTTATTTTCACATGGAAAATCAACAGAACATGTAATTTGACGAAGGATGTTAACGTTTGTGTTTGACTCTAAATGTGTCTAAATGTGTTACCAACTTAATTTATTTACATTGTGGGAGCACATTATTACACTGCAATTGGGAGTAGGCTTTTCAAATAATTATATTATATTGCATTATATTATATTATATTATATTAGATTATATATTTTTTTTGTGTATCATAATATGATATTATTGTCAGAAAGTGGAAAACATTGTGGTATGAATTTGTGTTCATTTTGCCCATTTACAGTGCTCCTCAGTGTAGTAAAAGTGCTGCAGTTTGAAACTGGACACTAGACACTCTGCTGGCCTTAGTACAGTGCTGAAAGCTTCGACTGAGAGTTTGAGAGTTTGGGACCCTTTTATGGAGGATCAGCCACAATATGCTGCAGCTGGTCTGTGGTCATCTTCTTTAGCATGGGGAAGGAGAGAGAGAGAGACAGACACTGCTGTAAAGTCAGTGAGAATGGGACTGTGTGAAAGAGCTAGAGTGAGAAAGAGAAATGAGGGCAGGGGAGAGAGTCAAGGGGTGTGAAAAGAGAGAGAGACAGAGAGATGATGAATCACTTTTGTGTCTTAGCGTTGTGTCTGTTTCTCTCAGCCAGAACAAAAGAGGCCTTCAGCCATGTATGTGACGCAGTGTTGGGGTCTGTTTAGGTGAACGTGCCCTTATCCATTTGGGGAAACTCAGCATTATTTGCTTTATTTACAAAAAAAAAAGCTCCCACTTCAGTGCAGTGTGTGTGTGGGTGTGTTGCAGTCACATAGAGTTTGTAGAGCAAATACTAAGCAGACAGACTGTTTCTGCTATTTGCAGAGACAGAAATGAAGGCAAGAAGTGGACTCTCACAGCTATACGCCACTGAACTCTTATTGTTTTGACAGGAGGATTTCCACAGGGGACACTATCTCCACTCCATTATACACACCTGCTGGCCTTTCCAGAACTGCTTTTACATGGATTTTTTCCCAGCAATGCTAGTCTGTATCATTGTTTTTCTCCCTGTGCCCAAATGGCCATTTTTCTCTGATTGGTCTCTTCAGCGTGTGGCCCATTCATGTCGACAAGGCTGTGCAGGAGTGTGTTTGATGTCAGTGTGTTTGATTGACTTGCAGGAAGGCACTCCAGGAATAACCATTAAAGGCAACCCCGGAGTCTCTATACGCATATACGGTTCATTTCTTTTCCTGTATTGGATCGCTAGCTGTGTGTCTGTGATCATTGATTTGGAGAAAGAACCATCTCTCGCTCTTGTACACTCGAGACAATAATGATGAGCATATCGGCTCTTTTCAGTGAGTCAGATCAATTAGCTGATTCTTTCAGCTCCAGTTGGCTCTTCATCCCCCTAAAAATTTCCCCCAAATTAGCTACATTATTTATATATATATATATAATATATAAATATATATATATATATATATATATATATATATATATATATAATTTATGGGAAGGATTTTAGTCCAAGTGCCTTCACTAGATGAATTTCAATAGATGATGGATTACATAGAAAACAAAACCAGAGACAAACTAACACAAGATGTTTAGAGAATAATGAAGGAGTGGAGGCAGAATTTTCCTAGGAAACCCAGGAATGGGCTTCTGTAACAAAGAATCATGGTGAATTTTCAGCTACAGCATCATGATCTACAGATATGCCCAAAAGAGCCGGCTCAAAGAGCCCTACTATGAGACAGAGAATTGTGGCTTCTAAGATACGTGACTTTACCTAGATGAAGAGCACTCACCTGAATTTCAGAGATTCGAGCAGATGCTAATACATAGATATTTCTGCCATCTGATCTGTTCTTCCTATCTTTTAGTAACGTGACTTTACAGCCCTGTTGATGCATTTATTTGACATATAAAGAAAATGATCTAAAAAGCCCAAATATTTTTGTTTAACTTGTCATACAAACTGGCTTTTTGAGCAAGCAAAAGCACAAATAAGAATTTAGTCACACATCAGTAGTGTTTTGTCATTACTCTGATTAAATGTAACAGTAATTCCTAGCATTAGCACCTGCACTGTTAAAACAACAACAGTCTTTGCCTTTTAATCTGCACTTCTGCTTTAATGATGCTGATTGTCACTTTTGTTTTATATTAGTTATTTAAAGTTGATTTAAAAGGGACAGATACAAAGGCATAGAAAATGATACCGAATTGTCTGATGCCAAATCTCATAACATTTATAGTGATATGCTAGTTTACAGTGTTTATTCCTAGAGAGCCTTTAATAAAATACTACACCCTCAATGGGTAAGAAAAGCAAAATTGATCAATTTAAAAAAAAAAAAATTACACGTTTATTTTAAGATGTAAAGAACATGAAGACCACAAGAAGTCTAGCCAACAGTACGGAAATTTTTATGTTTGTGTCTAGGGCTGCTTGATAAATCATTTTTATTGTAGTAAATTACATTACCAGCCTAATGAGTATATTCACTGGGATTGAACCCTGCTCTCCAAGGTGAGGGACAAGTAACTTAACCATTCGGCTAAACAGTCAGTTACAAAACGCACACATGCACAGCTCAAAACTCCTCCATCCTGAATTATAATCCTGTAAAATCATATCACACAATAGGATTGTTCTTACACCCAGTATTATTGTTCTCACACCCAGTATTACCCATTTAATAACTAAACAAAAATATGTAGCTGTTCTTGTGTGCCTATAAAAAAAAAAGCCTTGTAGCCTTGTAGAAAGAGCTGTTGAGGTAATGCTGACTGTTTATCAGCCTTTCAGTGCACATAAAATGTCCTTGCATTTCTGATGTAAGTAGCTATTAGTATTTCATTTTATTTTATCGTGAATGGTGCTTTTTATAATTTTGTATTTTGCTGTTTGCTTAAAGGAGAGGTTAGTTAGACATCTGTTTACACATCCAAAAAAAAAAAGTCTGTGCTTGTGTCACATCCAATCAGAGGCACGGTATTTTAATAATAATTTAACTCTGGTCATTATGATATCCAACAGCTTTATCAAACATTGCATTTTATGTCAATATCTTACAAACCTATTGTGTGACAAACTGCCATTATGTGCACTGACAATTTTACTGTATATTGACTTGGAAATAGAGGCATAGAGTGAAAATGACAGAGAGAGAGAGACACAGACAGACAGACAGAGATTAAACCAAGGCTTCAAGTCTTTGTCTCATGCAGCACACCTGATTCCACTCATTCACTAATTATCAAGCTCCTCATTGTCTGACTGGTTCGTCAGGTGTGTAGAGTAGGGGGAATGTGCAGAACATGGGGTCACCGGGAACAGAAGCCCTGGATTAAACACTGGAGAGTGAGTGGAAACAAGACAGTCAGTTAAAGCAAACTCAAAGTACTCAAAGTGCAGTTGGTGAACACGTCTAAATCAGAGCCACTGTACTGGTTTCCAGGGAGACTTGTGTTTCTGCTGCTGTGCGATGTCTGAAAACATTGATTAGGGATGTTGCCTGTGGCTGTTGTAGAGGCACTGATAAACTACAAACACTCAAAGATGGTAGCTTGCCTCGCTGACTCCATAAGGTTTTAGTGTAAACACTGCCTGAGATTTCTAGATTGATGCTCACAGAGCTTTGTGTTTGTTTTAGTTCTGTTGAGACAGATGTGTCTTAATTAAACAGCAGTCTTAATTCTAGCTGGGTTCTGCTATAGTTCCCCAATCTGATATCATTTCTCAGTAGAGGAGAGTGTAGCAGATCTGATTGGTTGAATGCACCATTCATTATAAAAGGCTTAACTTACAGCAGTAAACTACACAGCTTCAAACAATGAACTGATCCTATGGATTCTCTTTTAATCGATGTTATTAATTTACACGTAATTATTTTTTCCAGTGGTAAATGATGGGAGTCATACCTGTTTTCGATCGGTCCAAACACTGTTAGCGCTGGAGCCGTATTGCAGTTAGGGTTTTCATTGTTTTGTCAGTAAATGTGGGCAGTCTTCCTATATGATAGGGATTACATTTCTTTTGCTTTTTTTTCATCAGCGGGTCCAACCGGTCAGAGACCACTTAGCAAAGTGGAGCGCTATGAGAACACAGAGCCATGGCTTCTCATTGGAGGACAGAAGAGACCAATCAGCCTCCTGCGAACAATGGTAAGTGCTGCTTGTTATTCTTCTCATTCTGTTGCACAATGACGACATACATTTGTGAAAATGTAGAATTTGCTCTTACGTGTTAAGAAAACAAATCAAGTGGATATTAATTGAATTTATCTATTTTTAAAATGTAAAGTATTAAAGAACATAATTATCCCAAGTGTTAAATCAGCCAAATTATTGAAGTCAACTAAGAGAATGAACTGTGTTTTTCCAAGTCTTATAGGAGTTCCACCTGCTAAGACACATATCCAATAAATGAAGTCTCTTTTACTCAGAATATGAAATATTCCCACATCACTGAACTATTATAAGTTAGAGGAGCTTTTTTTTAGATTTCATGTATTCGGATGAGATGTTTGAATTAATTTAACATATTGAAATTTAGTCTGTTGCCATTAGAAGCTGGTGAGATTGGCACAGTGTGTTACCATGTTCTGTATTGCTGAGTGTGGTGCTAAATTGTCTGGGCAATACAGTGGCCACTTTTACAGCATTTGTGATAAGATTTAATCAAATGAACATCCATAATCGGTCAGGATTCTCATTCAGCATCAACTAGAAATGTCTGTTCCTCCCTCATTTGTTGATCCGTTCTGTTATAATGTTTATGAGCCTTTGTGCTCATATTGACATCTATCTATTGACATCTTACAATATCAGTTTGATTTCTTACTCAACTTAGCAAGTCCTCTCTGTAGACATACAGTACACGCTTGAGTAAAAATCAGTTTCATAATTAATAATAATATTTTTATGGTTTTATAATAATTTCATAATTTAGCTTATCAGTCCCTGCCAGAAGATTTTCTGTTCAAAATCACATTTTCTCTAGTTTACCAACTGTGCCAGGAATGGACTGCCTACTGCCTCTCCAGCTGTGGTCCCATAGAGAGAGAGAAACAGAGAGAGATAGAGAAGTAGAGATAGAGAAACACTGGGAGAGAGAAAGAGAGAGAACTGAGAGAAAAACAATCGAGAAAGAAACATAGAGAGATAGAGAAATATAGAGAGAGAAATAGAGAGAGAGAAACACAGAGAGATAGAAACAGTGAGAGCGAGAGAGAGAAAAAAAAAACAGAGAAAGAGAGAGAGAGAAAGAAACCAAGAGAAAAAGTGGGAATGGCAGAAATCTCTGTTTGCAGTTCAGGTTTTTCCAGTGTGCTTGGAGCGGCTGAGATGGAGCGCATTCTGCCAGCCAAACTCAAAACACGGCCTAGGGTTTCCCTGCACTATTACAGACCCAATTCAGGACCTTATTTCTTTTTCTTGTGCAGATTAGAAAGGTATGTGTTCTACCCTGAGAATTTTACATTAAAGCATGAAGTGGAGTTCACTCTCTCGACTGATGGGGCTTCATGTGAGAAAACTAAGAAGGACGTTTTAGTGGAAATGCAATTTGTTTCTCTCTGTCTTTAATGAAAAACATTTCTAAGCCAATTTAGGGACTAAAGGCTCATACGGATGAAAGTGTCTGCTGTTGTTCTGTGAATTAGCAAGCTCTATGGGGACACGGAGGCCATAGTTGCAGTTAATTATAGTCATGTTTTGTGCCACAGTAAACATTTCAGCTGTTGCAGATATGCTGATCTAAGGCATTTATTATTGTCTACCTCCTATGTGTTGTTTTCATAGCAGAGTCAATAAAACAGTTTCACAGGGCAGCTTCACATGTATACTGCCTTAAGCAATAAGTGCGGAAAGGAAGGTGAGACCACCCAGATCTCTTACTCTCTCTGTCTCTATTTGTATGTCAAAGTCTCACTGACCTACGGAAATGAATAGGGAGTCAAATGTATCAAGCGTAAAGGGGCAACATGTAAAATCAACCAAGTAACTAAAATCTTTTGTCTACCGTTATTGTTTATCATGTTTATCATTGTCAGTGAATGTTTGGGCATGAATGACTGAACTATCCCATCATTGCTGTGTTAATGCTGTTTGCAGCATAAAAAACACTAGCCCAATAGTCACAGTTTGGTATGAGAGCCAGGCTCCCTGGGAGAAAAACAGATAAATCAGTGTAACATGTTGGCTAATGCTTCCCGTTGAGTATTTACAGTATGTCAGTTGAGAAGACCATATAGGACTAAATTAGTCCTATAAGGTTCTTAAGTTCTTAAGTTGTTAGAAATATTACTATTACACAAAAGCCTCCAACCTTAAATATAACATTTAATTCTCTCTGTATTTAATTTGTCCATGCTTTACTTTTGTGCACCCTATTGCTACTTTAAGGCCCAATCCCATTTCAGCCCTTGCCCCACCACTTAGCCCTTAGCCCTCTGTTTTGCACATTCACGTCTAGGGATAGGGTGTCCTGATATTTGTTGAGATAGAGGAGTAGGGCAAAGTGTTAGGGCTACATGGCCCTCCAAACATAGGTTTTTCAAGGCCACACTCCAAACGGAAAACTGGCAAGATGGCTGCCTAAGTGACCAAAGAAACCCAGAAATATAAGTATTTTCTCTGTTAAAAATTACATTAAAAATAAACCATTGTATGATCTTCGTTTAATGTCATTTCAATGTATTATGGTCCTTTTATTCATAAGAAGTATAAAAATTGCTAGTAGTACACTGACTTCTCAGTAGCTAGCTAGCTAAATTTCCTGTTCCACCTTAAATGGTGCAGCAGTTACATTCTGGAGTCAGAACTGCTGCTCCATGTAAGGTGGAACAGGAAAATTAGAACAAGAAGCTGGCGATTAGCAGACTTCAGCTTCATATCACTGAAAAAGTAGGGGTGGCGATAATAAATCCCCCCTCCTTGAAGACAAATGATTCCCTAAAATACCTAAAGCCCAGCAGTGAGGTTGTTGAACTTTACCCTCCTCTGCTGTCACTGCAGACTGGCAGGGTCACCCACAGAGCAGCGCTAGTAGCCTGTTAATGAAGTAATGTTCTTCTTTATTTGAGGGTCCCATTTTGTAGGGGAAGATTTCAACCACTACCCCTTGTAACTCAGTTCCAAGGGGCAAGGTGACCCTCGAAAACAAAGGGTAGGGGTTGAATAAGAAATGGGATTGGGCCTAACTCTTCCAACCTTCAAAGTTATCAGAGGTGTTCCCCTTAAAAGAGAAGCTAACATTCACACTAGCAACCACCCAAAATCACCTTGGCTGCATTGCAAATTACTTTCTCATGTGCATCTACGATGGCTAAAGGAGATATTATGGGGAGATAAGATAAATGATAATGCACTTGCCAAAGGAATGGGAAAGTCAAAGGAAAGTAAGTGACAAAGCAGGAGATTCTAAAACTGGAGTTCAAAAAATAATTAAATACACAGAGAAAATGGGACTTCTAACAACCGTGCAAGACCTGGTAGACTACCAAAACTGTTACCACCAGATAAACAATATTTAACACTTTAAGGAGAAAATTAGTCTCCACTCAAGGATGTGTAGCTGTTAAATAGCCATTACTGAGAAAGGGACATAGACAAAAAAAGAAGAGAATTTGTGCTAATACACAGGAACTGGACATCTTGGAGTAAGTGGAGTACGATTTTATGGACTGATTAGTCTAAATTTGTAAATGGGTTTATTTGTAAGCAGAAAATGCAGCCAACTATACTAAGACTGAACCCAAAACAATGGAAGCTGGAATGAAGGCAAAAATCACACAAGACTCACACAAAAAATGATATAATGTTTAGTTGTTAAGGCTTTCATGTAATATACTGTAATACAGGCCAGTCTTCAGTCATGTCAACCAATCCACCAATAGATTGCAGTCTCAATATGTAGCAAGATAATTGCAATGCTGCTATTCTATCAGCACTGTGCAGCCCTAAGGCGCACTGCTAATGTCCACACTGAATGACGGATTATTGTTGATGTAAGAAAGAGACAATTTCTTGCTTGGTTTTGTTATTACACAGCTGGATTAAATCCTCGCAAACAGAAACCCAGCAGCAGTCTGACTGAGAAACTGTGGAGTGGATTAATGTCAGAGAGAGAATTGAAACATAAAGCTAATCCTGTGAGCCAACAGCTTGAGGACATTAGATGAGATTATATAAAACAAGTCAAACAGACTCTTTATCCCAAACAAAGCCTGCTTAATGCAGAAAATGCACTCCGTTCCTCTCTGTTTGCCGTATCACATGGATTTTTATTAAGTACAGTAACTCTATTAACACCCAGTCTTTGACAAATATATAAACAGCTGTCGAATTACTCATCAGGCTCTATTTGACAGGATTATTTGTCAGGAAATGTTTGTTTCTGGTGATTAACAGTGCAGCCACAGCAATATGTTTACTGAAAAAACTGCACTGCCCAGAAGTGAAGTTTGACACTATAGCATAGTGTTATTTTGAGCAGCTTGAGTTCTGAGCGCTGTTCGTTCTAATGGATATATACGCCCAGTTCTCTTATGGCTGACATTGCTCAGATATTGTGTATTAGTAAACCTTCATTGAAACTGTCAGACTTTTTTCAGAGTCAGACCAAGGATTGGAGAGAGTGTCATGCCACAGGTGCATTTAATTATGCCATCAACCAATCAGCATCTGCATTTTTAAGTGGCAATTAACCAGTTGTGAGTTTTACAAGTTGGGTAATTAATGTATTTGGTTTGCAAATGATGCTAAAATTAGAGAAACACCATGGATCTAATGAGATGGCTCCATTTCTACACAGCAACATCACTCTTCTTGTCAAACCCTTCACTTTTATACTCTTAGAGATGAACTTTGTGTGCTGTCTTGTTTTCTGTCACCATAAAAAAGACACACTAGGCTTCCTTTATTGTTGCATGCATGTTGCATGTCGAGTGAGCTTAAGAGCTCATTGAGAGCACAGTTCAGACTGGTAAGTGCTTATTGTTGTTTAGTTTTAATCAGAGTAATGATGAAACACAGATGATGTGCGACATATTCATATCCATGTGTTTTCTTGTTCAGAAAGGCAGTTTGTGACATAAACTAATTCACATTCTACATCAAGTTCTTTACATATCAAAGTAAATGCAGTAGCAGCTTCGAGAAATCACGTGACTGATGGAGAGGAGCAGATTAAATGGCAGAAACAGACACTTTTTTGCGTTGACACTAAGGGGCTAACTCGAGGGTCGGCAACGTGCAGCTTTTTTACTGCCCTGTTGCGGCTCCACAGCAGAACTATATTTTTAGGTAAAATAAAATAATTCTCCTTGCAGTAAAATAAAGCTCTGCTGATCATTCCAACATGGTTTTAACAATAAATGGTCTTAAATGCTGGAATTCTTGTAGCCTATATCTGCTAATTTACCAACCTTTAACCATGAAGATTGGCACACAGACTGCTGGTCACCACAGCAAAGCAGACAACAATCTCACCTAGCTAGTAGCTAACAAAACGGCAAAGAGAAGGATTTAAGATGAATGTCGATCATTTGGAGACAAATGGACTTATTTGCATTCATAATCACTACAGCTGGTTTCCTGATACATTTAATCTTTTACGAGAAACTGACAAACACTAAAAAGTCACGAAGCTAAAGTCGCCTCCTCATTCACCAGCTTCTTGTTCGAATTGTCCCGTTCCACCTTAAATGGTGCAGCAGTTCTATTCTGGCGCCTCATGCACCATTTAAGGTGGAACGAAACAATTTGAACAAGAAGCTGGAGAATGCGAAGCTGACTTCAGCCTCGTAAAAAGTCGAACATTGAGAGGCGTTTTTACTAGAAACTGTTCTACTTTTGCGAAAAAAGGTTCCTGCCAGAGATGTGAGAAAAGCAGCTGAGTTAAACCTTAAAGCATGCATTTTTGTTTATATTATATTTTTATCCTGTACTAATGCATTGGCACATACTGAGACGTATTGGTAAAATAGACATCAACTGTTTTGGCTCCCAAGGTGGTTTGATTTTTGTTGAAAGGACAGAAGGCTCTTCTTAACACTTGTCAGAATAGCTGGAACACATTTGGCATAGGACCGTTAGTGCCAATGCTGGCATGACAAAATGGATCAGCATGTGGACCAGAGACTTTCTGTGCACTACTGTGTTCTTATCACTGTATTAAAGAAGCTTAATAAAATTGCTGCTTTTATTGCTACACCAGGATGGTCTCTCAGTTTAGTGTGTGCATATATTCAGAACAGAATAATTATTGTACAAAGGCATATTACTAATTTGTTTCATCAGAGTAACAAAAGGTGTTTGAAGTGTGAAGTATATTGTTGTTCCTGTCCTTTGTTTGCGTGGTCAGAATGATGTTAGATCTTTTCACATCAAAGTGAATATGGCAACAGCACTGACAAATCATGTTTTGAAAAGAGAGGAATAAATTAAAAGGCCAAAATAGATGCTTTTGCCTTTCACAAGAAACAAACAAGCAAACAGACAAAAAAACGAGAGAAAAGAGATAAAGAGAAAGAGATTTAGTCAAATTTTGGCCTCTCTTTCTCTGGTTTTAGGGCCATCCCGCGTTGCTGAAGCTCCTGATTGAGGCGGAAAGCGAACAGCTGCTGCTCATTCTGCAGAAAAATGAGTAAGTGTCCTTCTCTCTCTCACTCTCTCTCTCTCTCTCTCTCTCTCTCTCTCCCTCCACTAGCTATAAGAGGAGCTTTTTCTGGAATATAAATTGGTGACAGATGCATGTGTTGCTTGTCTCTGTGCCCGGGTTTGGGTCAAGCTTGTCCTCTAACAGCTACTACAGAAAAAACATGCTCCTCTTCACACTACCTACACTGACAGAGGTTCATCATTCTGTTTAGTCTTCTGGAACAAAACCTCATAAAATGAAGGTCTACAATATATCATAGGCTGATGAAAACAGACTTTGCCCTTGATATCACTGCTCTGTATTGAAAGCTCTTAGGTGGAGGTGGAGAGTGAGAGATACTGTATGTACGTGCGTGTGGTTAAAGCATCTATATCTAAACACATCAGCTACGGAGCGGATGGAGATTGTATGCCCAAGGTGGATGTCCACGCTTAACATGAATTTTAGTGCTTGTGATTCGTATGTTCATTTCATCCTTACTGCAAATTGAGGTTTCCCAGAACCCTACAGCAGTCTCTCAGCTGTGTCCTTGATCCTCTACACCATCTGCTGTCCGTGTTTGAGAGGGATTTTCATAATGGAAGCTGCACGATCTTCAGTGCAAGCTAATATTCTGAGACGCTCAAAAGCCTAGTCCTTCCCACTCAATGCTTTCCGATCTCTTGACCTGAAAAAAGATACCTCTACTCATGCCCTGTCTTTGTCCTCTCTTGAATCTTTATCTTGCACACAGGACATTTCTGGGAAGCTGTTGACCCTCCTACTCTCTGGTCGTGTCTCTCCTGAACACGTCTCCAGAAGTGTGATAATGCTTAAATAGCTGATGTGGAGTAAATGCTAAACAGGACCAGTTAACATGATTTCATATTCACAGTGCTAACCGCTTTATATTAGAACGTTAATAAAAATAGTTAACCATTCAAAAGTTGCAATTGTCATAAAAGCATGTTGTAATTTTCTATTATTTCTCACTCACAGCTCATTGAACCTTGTAGCTACAATGTAGTGTTGCTCAGTTGACCAGTCCAGTCAGGCTGCCCAGGCACCTTTGTATCTGCAGTGTAGCCCTACTCAAGCTGCCAGCCCAGGTAGCCTTGTAACTGTGGTGTAGCATCACTCAAGTGTCCAGGCAGCTTTGTAGCTGTGGTGTAGCTTCACTCAAGTGTCCAGGCAGCTTTATAGCTGTGGTGTAGTGTCACTCAAGTGGCCAGGCAGCCTTGTAGTTGTGACATAGCGTTGCTTGACCAGCCCAGGCAGCCTCATAGCTGTCTAGATGAATCAAAAGGGTGAACTCTCAATCAATACCACATTTGTGTTTGTAAGTAGCAGAAGAGTTATTTTATTTCGATTTTGAATTTGATGAAAAGTTATTGTTTGTCTGTTTCTTTTTGTAAAGATGAGCAAAAAATAAAAAAGGTCAAATGTTCAGAGTCAAACCTGCACCTGAACATAAATGATATTAGTAGTGTAATTAATGGTATAATTAGTTGTGTAATTATATAATTACATTTACATCGTATTGCAAAATGACAGTAATAACTCTTGACTTCTAAAGGTTAAACATGAGCAAGTTTTACATTGTAATTTCATTAACTGATGGCTGAAAAAGCTGTAACAATCATAATTGAGGGAGGCTGAAGATATCAATTGTTTTCTCTGGAAATGAAGAGTGATATTCTAATGAGTTTCTTTAACTGTTTGATTTTTGTTGCCTAGGCAATATTCATTATCTTTGCCCATGATTCAGCTGGCTTCATTAGTCATCTTTGAACAGGTCTGGGTCAAGCAAAATGGCCAGGACCCAAAAGCAAATGAAAATTCTCAAAAATTGCCAACCAGGCAGTGGCCCAGCTGAAATCTGTCTAGAAGAGGCAAGGTCAGGACCTGACTCAGTGCAGCTTTTCAACTCATACTGATTTGAAAAACAAGAGGATTCAGGCTTTGCTGTAACTCTTTGTGACTATGGTAGATGGTAGAGAAACAGCAGGAGAATGGTGGATTTGCTCAGGCCTAAAGAGGCCGGGTTGGTGCCAGCTCTCGATAGAACCATCTCTAAAAGCATCTGAACATTAACACCGGCAGATTCAAGCCTGGGGCTCTGGAAAGGGCAAAACAGAACCTAATTACAGTATCTGCTGCACATGAAACTGAACATGGTGTGTGTGAGGACAGTTGGATGCTTGTGAAGCTCATTTGCTGCAGAGTGTGTAATTTGCTGAGCGGTCAGAGAGACCTCAAGCAAGAGCGTTGAAAAAAGTGTTGGACTGGGTAATGAGATCAAACCTGGGTCATTATTGGAGTTCAAGAAGTGGAACTGAAAACTCCCCCATTTAGTCATGTGAAATTACTTTTGACAGAGAATAATGAGAAACTGCCCTAACAATTTGAAGTGTGTCCTGTTACTCATTAGGCTGTTAAGGAAGAAAAATGTCTTCAAATGTCAGTCAGAGGAGTTGAGTAGTACTAGGATGGTGTGGATCCATTTTTTTTTAACTTGACCAGCACTGGAGTTAGTAATTTAAAACTGCTCTACTAACTTTCATGGAGGCCTACATCTACAAAACTATGTTTAGGACATTTTTGAAGAGATTTCTTTTTACACCAATGTGACAGCCTCAAATACACACAGTCATTCACCCCAGTAATTCACTCCTCAGAATTATTAATGAAGCATAAGGACAGTTTGTAGACAGTTATCACATACCTGAGTGTATAACTCTGCCTGGCTTATTATTAGTTCTTATTGTCTTTAATAGCATTTAGTAATCTATTATTAAGTGGCCTTAACAAAGCCAACTTACAGTTCTTCATTGTTTTATAGTATGTTTTTTATGCCCTTTTTTATAGGTTGCAGATTTCAGCTAGAACCATGAAACTTTGCGGGATCATAGAGGCTATACGAGAATAATGTGCTTGTGATTTTGGGACTAATTGCACCTATGATTTTTATACAGCATTTGTTCCAACATATTTTTTTTCCCGTAGGAAATGAATGGCAGAATGCTAAAAAAAAATCATGTCTCAAAAGACATTTTTCACACTAGCCTTTCATAGACATTAGATACAGACTGACTAGAACAGTGTCTTAGCAACATCTTAGCAACCACCTGGGATACCATAACAACAGCCTAACAGCGCCTTAGCAACCACCTGGACCACGATAGCAATGACCAACAAACACCTTAGGAACCACCTGGAACACCAAAGCAAAGGCCTACCAACACCTTAGCAACCACCTGGGATTCCATAGCAATGGACGAGGAACATCTTAGCCACTGCCTTGGATAACATAGCTACACCTTAGTAACCACCTAAGATTTCATAGCAACAGCATAGTCAAACCAACTTAAAGTTTGTTCACAAACGGTTCTCTTCTATTGTTTAGCTGACTGTGATTTGAAAGTCTGTAGTCGTATGAGTATTTGCGAGTGATTTGCAGACATAATCGTTGAACATTGCATTTTTCCTACATCGCTGTTGTTCCTAAGCCTATATTAACTGTTTCATCAGATACTGAGAAAAGGATTGAACCTCTCAAATAAAAGTTCTCAATTATGGCTAGGCTGATTGCATATTACTTGAACATAGCACTGTCAACTATTAGTTAAGGCTGCTAACTAGGCTAACTTAGAAACTGATCATTTTGTAGTTATACCTAAACTTTAGCCTCAAAGCTCTCAAGCAGTATGTATGGAATATTTGTTATTTTTTTAAAGATTCTAGAGGCTTTGCAGTTAGTTAGTTCATGTTGTGGGCACAAAAATGACTGTGCAAAACTGTACTGTCATCCAACCCAGTGATTTTTATCGCTGGACTTTTGACCCACTGCCCTGCACAATTTGCTGCTTTCCTTGCTCTGCAAGTCATGTTTTATCTGAACTAATTACCGAGCACTTCCTGCAGAGAAGACTGGAGTGGAAATTTATCGCTCTAAGAAATCAATTGAAGGCTCAAGCGTAAATGTAGCCGAAGATTAATTAAATAACTAAGGCTGACCATACATTGTGCTGGTTGTAAGTGTAGTGGTTTCTCTGACACTGTGGAGGGAGAACCCACAGCTGAGGTGAAAAGGAACTGTCTGAGTGTCTTGGCAGCCAGCCCCGCTCAGCCTGATCAACACCAGTTGTTCAAACATGACTAAACCCTGGAGAAAGAGGTGGGAAAAAAGAGCAATTGTCAAATGAAATTATAAAAATTGAAAGCACAGATTTGTTTTTGTACCTCTCCAATTTCAACCCAGCAACAATCCTGGTAACATAAACACAGTTTTTCCTCCTGCAGCTCAAAACAATGTGGGAGGTGAGGGACGCGACGCCAGTGTGGGTCAAACCGTTTTTTTGCTGTTTATGACTGAAGGACACTGAGACAGCGCTGTTCTTGTCTTTGTACGTTAGAGTGCCAGATCATCCATCTCTAACACAGGCTCCATTAATTCTCAGTCCCTTGTGGTGTCTATATACCTTGAAATCTTACATTTTGTTTCATTATTTCTCACTCACAGCTCAGTGGGGAAAAAAAAAACTCATAGCTGACTTAGGTTTAGAAAATAGAAATGGAAAAATGTTGGAACTAGTTACTAATATGTAGTTACATTTAATAACGATGTAATATAAAACAATAATAATAAAACAAAACAATAATAATAAAAGCAAGCTGTATGTAGTGAAGAGCATTGTGTTTCTCCATATCCCAGTGCAATGTAATTCTAGTACAGGGATGCCCAGTCTGGGTCCTGGAGATCCAACCCTAGTCTAACATACCTGATCCAGGTAATGAAGGCTTCCAGTGGCATCTGACTACTAGAGCCAGGTGTGTTAGATCTGAACTCTTCAGGGTGGTAGATCTCCAGGACCAGGATTGAGCACCCCTGGTCTAGAACCTCTGTTGTGTGACTGTTAGCATAAGCTGTAAGAAAGGCCTTTATAGCCAGAATGTATGGAGGGTTTTTGTGTGAACATATTGCTATTGTCGGCACTTGGAAAAAA